GAATATATTTTATTTATACATTATTTTGCAATATTAAAAATAGACTATTATTCTAATTTAAAACCCAATAAAGCACAGGAACCAAGGACAATACTAGAATCAATCTGAGAGCTAACCAAAAACAACTGCAAACCAAATTAGTAGAAACATAATGACAAAATAATGTTGGACAACTAAAACAAATCCCACATTGCATCAACCCAGTCCTGTAAGGCTTTGCCCAATCAGCTAGTTCATAAGATAAAAAAAAGAATTATGAAATGTTCTGTAGTGCTTGTGCTACAACTCCATCTCTAGAAGACAACCTTTTAGCCAATTAATGGAGAGCATCTAAACTACTAAACAAATGTCCTTTGGTGAGAGAATATTAAAACAACAGCAGCAATATGAAGGTAAATATGTGCCAAAATGAACGAACTTGTGAATTTAATGTGAAAACTTGAGAATGCAAATCTGAGAATTTGTACCACAAAAATCTGAACTTGTATGCCAAAATGTTCTGCTGTAAATAAAAACCGCACACACACAAACTGAATTTGAAGTCAAGACCATGTAGAAAAAAATTACACTTGTCAGTCCAATCTTCACCTGAAGAGGATTTTCACTCAAATCTGATTTAAATGTGAATGCACAAAAAAAATATTTACTGGTGTGTTCATATAGTTTTACACAAATAAAATTACAGCTGACAAATGATTATTGATAGTTTATTTGTAATTTATTTGTGTTGCTGTTATTAAATTAAATTATTAAATTGTTTATAAAAGTTATTGTTGTCGGTGTGTTCTTAAAGTCTTTTATCTGTTTCATCACTTCTTTATAATTTAAGTAAACTTAGAACAACTTTTCAGTGACAACATCAGTTTATTTTTAGAGAAGCAAGTATTTACAATAAACTATTAAAAACATTTTTAACTATTGACATTAGATTTTAAAATTAACTACTACAACTATTTACAGAAGATATACAGTAAATATTACTAGAGAACATATATATATATATATATATATATATATATATATATAAAATTGTGCTCCAAAGGCGTCCTCCCAAGTACGCAGCCTGCGAATTTAGACGCAGCCTGTGATTGGTTGGCCTATAGAACACCCCCCTCCCCCCCTCCATTTCCTCTCACATCTTCAAACACAAGTTCGTTTTGGCACAAATATCTCACAAGGAATGTGACAAAACTCAGAGCGCGGTGTCAACGTGCTGTGTCTCGCGAGAGCGCGTTTGTGTTCTTGAAGCAGCAGATTCAAGAAGCTGTAATGGCTAAATTGAGGTTGTAATGCAAGATTAACATATGCAAAAAAATTATAATTACAAATAAACTATCAATAATCATTTGTCAGCTGTAATTTTATTTGTGTAAAACTATATGAACACACCAGTAAATATTTTTTTGTGCATTCACATTTAAATCAGATTTGAGTGAAAATCCTCTTCAGGTGAAGATTGGACTGACAAGTGTAATTTTTTTCTACATGGTCTTGACTTCAAATTCAGTTTGTGTGTGTGCGGTTTTTCTTTACAGCAGAACATTTTGGCATACAAGTTCAGATTTTTGTGGTACAAATTCTCAGATTTGCATTCTCAAGTTTTCACATTAAATTCACAAGTTCGTTCATTTTGGCACATATTTACCTTCATAGAGGTCATCCAGTGTTGTTTATTGATCTGATCCCAGCCTTCATATGAGACGGTTAAATATCCTTTTATCCATCTGCTTATGTAGTCTGTCACCTTGTTTGGAGGCTTAAACAACTAGAGATGGTGAAGTGATTTTATTTTAACATAAACTAACTAGTTTGAAAAACAAAGCCCTACTAATCAAGAGCTGGAATACTTTTTTTTCTTTTTAAGTTGGACTTTTTTTTTTTCTCTCATGACATATTTTCCTCTTTTATATCCAAAGTGTGTATTCAGTTTCACCATATACCAACCAGTTATTTTAGTGTTGTTTAATTTTGACATGCAGGATCTAAAATATTTAACTTTACGACTTAATATGGGATAAATCTCTTGTTTTGTCTTTTTTTCTTAGAGGTTCGAAGTGGGAGAAGCCGTACCCAAACAACAGCTGCAGATTTAACTGCACAGAAAGGTGTATTTAAAATGATTTGACTCACTTCTTAAATTTGTAGTTGTAAAAATGATTAAACACGGATGGTATTGAGAAGTGAAAGAGGAATGTTTTCTTTCTCAAACTGAGTTTTATAACGTGTGGTGCGTGTTTGTATTTCACATCAGTGTCTACGCTTTGGCAGGAAGTCTTTTGGTTTTTTTTAAGCAACTTTGCACGTCCAGACACTGAAGCTCCCCCACCCATTCTTCTTTGCAGAATAAGTTCATTTAATTAACTCTAAGACCATCCCTCTATCAAACCATCCATCTTTTTAGTCTCTGGCTGCCTCCCTGTCACTGCTTTGAAAGAACGCTACCTCCACATCATGATGCTTCCACCCCCATAGTATGGTGCGGTAATGACATTTTTGAGGTGACAGACAAAGCACTTTTTCCAACCCACAGTGGCAGTAGGCCAAAACGTTCTGACCTACAGCTAAAGGTCCCAATGTTGACAGATCCTTCCACTTAAAGCTGTGTTTAGTTCACATCCCAATGGACACTATTCACCAATGGGACATCTCCAAGGATATTTTATTACTATTAGAGGTACTAGAGTAAAGTAGAATACATACTAATGCACATCAGTTTTTATTCATTTACTTGGAAAAATAAATGTAAATCCATGCCTTATTTTCTTCCACTTTGCAATTCTAGAACAAATGTTATTGACCTTAACAAAAGCCGGCAATGTCTTTGGTTGTAAAAGGAGAAAATCTACACTGCAAAAAAGTAAATCTAAATAAGTCAATTTTTTCTTTAAATAGGTGCATTTTTTTCTTGAATTGAGGAGGTAAGTGAGATAATTTGCCAATGGAACACGACAATTTACATTTAAAATAAGAAAAAACAACTGCCTACTATCTAAATATTTTGTTATATTACTAAAAATCATTGCATTGGCAGATCATCTTATTTTGCTAAAATTGTACTTATTTCTAGACCTTTTTTGCAGTGTAGCAACCCAGTCTCATGGGAAAATGTACCCCCACTACGTTGGTCCACACTGCAAAACGTAGTGGAGGTACATTAATGGCCATTTTTTTGTGGTACTGTTACGTTTCTTCTGCCTATATGCTTTCTATTGTTTTACGTCCTAGTCACGTGACTTTCAAGATTCCAGCTGGGAGAAGAAAAAAAATATATATATATGGCCGACATTCGCTCATTTTTTTGTGGAAAGATTAATGACTTGAGCTTGTTTTGGCATTAAAATGAGTTTTGATTACATTTCTAGTGAGAAATGTATAGTTGTTGCCAGAATATTTACTCAGGGAATGTACATATTCACTTGCTTGTTTGTTTCTTGCAAAGATTTTTCAAGATAATGTGAAACTGTAACATTTTGGTATAAACATAGCTGAGATTTCTCTAACTTTTAGTGGGAAAATCAATAATTTCAATCAGTTTCTGCATTTAAATGGGTTTTGATTACATTTATAGCGAGAAGTGTAGGGTTTATTTACATAATATTTACTTAGTGAACATGCATAATCACCCGCTTGCTAGTTTTTGCTACGGGTTTTCGGATCTCGTCAGGATTATGTGAAATTGCAACGTTTTGGCTGCTACCCATCGCCTAGCATTTAGCTAGGCGATGGGTAGCTAAAAACGTCTTTAGAAATAAATATCAGAATCAATCAGCTGGTTGCACCTCAGGGCAACATGGAATGGATATCGGCCAAGAAAATGATTGATTTCATTGACTGATACCATTGACTATAAAAACCCCGACTGCTTTGCAGAAATAATTGATAGGATTTCATACATCATTGAGTATTTGACAGCAGAAATAATAATATCCTTTGATCATGACTGATCTTTCTAATCAAATATTTTTCCTCATCACAGCAGCTCAGAGTCGTGTCTGCAGGGCAGATGAGACTGACATTAAACCCACCTTTAGTGTGCAACAGAATTCTCTGAATCAGTACAGGGTACTTTGTAATCCTCTGGGTCACCAGCAGGATGCAATCTGGGATATCAAGCCTCCGCACAGTGCTGCTACTTCTCGTTGTGACGGCTGCAGAATTTCCCATAAACTTTTTTCATACAGTCCCCATTGGATTCCGAGAACTGAGGGTCAAATACAACAAAAATAAATACGCAAAACATATACTGACAGCATAGATACCGTATTTTCACGACCATAAGGCTCACCGGACTAAAAGGCGCACTCTCAGTTATGTGTCCCATTTCTGTATTTAACACACACATAAGGCGCACCGGACTATAGGGCGCGTTTTTTATATAGGTACAAGTCCTCTACTACCTTTAAATACCTCTACTGCGTATTTAAAAATACAGCGGGGGCAAAACTGAGTATGACTGTGCTTTATTCATGTATTTATTACAAAGTATTAATCAAACCTGGCAGCTGGCCGTGAGACAGACCAACATCGCAGATGACACAGAGCTGTGATCACTCCTAAATTAACTTAAAATCCTGAAACCTGCTGACGGAATATGTTCGCTTTTATTGCCGGTATCCTGGTGCCTGCAGCTAAAATTATTTAGATGAAAAACACCTGCCAGCAGCCGCGGTGAACCCCAGGCTGCCCAGCCTAGAGGCTGCTGATGAAAGGATTTCTACTGTCGGTGCACCGCTGGTATGTGGGGGTCTGAGCGCCTCCGACAGAAATAGATAATCTGGATGAACTGACTGCAATTATGAAGTTTTCAGGTGGACTTTCTCACTTAAAACATATTAAAACTACTTTATTCCCACTGATCACAGCAAATATAGCTGCAAGATTTAGATTATTTAGATGAAAAAACACCTGCCAGCCGCCGCGATGAAGAGGAGGAGACGCGCCGGGGCTGCTGTTGAATTAAGTTTTCAGGGAGAAAAATACAGCGGGAGCAAAACTGAGTATGATTGTGCTTTATTCATGTATTTATTACAAAGTATTAATCAAACCCATCAAAGTCAACATCCTCTGTTTCTGAATAAAACAGCTGCGCTAAATCAGACATGCCAGTTTCCCCTTCTGCGCTGTCAGAGTCACTTTCCGTGCAGCGCGGCTCCTCAGAAATAATGCCGGCTTTTGCAAAAGCTTGAACAACAGAGCCAGCAGACACGTTAGTCCAAGCATCTACAATCCATCCGCAAACGGTGGCGTAATCTGCCCGGCGCTGCCTTCTTATCCTGAAACTGTGGTCTCCGTCGGTCATCCATCGCTCCCACGCCGCTCGCAGCCTTACTTATAACGGCCGCTTCACACCGATGTCGAGCGGTTGAAGCTCCTTTGTCAGACCCCCGGGATAACGGCGAGCACAGCGTTCATTTGATTCATCTTTTTTTCACATCGGCTGTGAGATGGGCACGCAGCGATGGTGATGCGTGGAAAAAACCACCTAGTCTTCTCACATACACCTGCCTCAGCCACGCATCCATCCAGCCTTTTTCATCTAATATCATATGTCATCAGAGCGCTGTCTGTCTCGCTGTCAGCTCCCAGATCAGCTTCTCTGATTGGTTGATGCGGCGCGTCCAGCAGCAAAACTTCAAATTTTCCATCTGAGCAGCAGCAGCGCGTTGGCGGTGCTTCAGATGCTTAAACGCTCCCGACGTGCTGCACCAAAATGCGCTGCGGGACCTTTTGCTGCACCTATACGCGCGTCAACCATTGACTTTGCATGTAAACTCGCTGCTTCTGCTGCACCTGCTGGGTCCGGTTCACACCGATGTCGAGCAGCGTTAATTTGTTTTTCACATCAGCTGTGAGATGGGCACGCATGGAGTTACATATTAACAGCGATGGTGAGGGGTGGAAAAAAAACACCTGGTCTCCTTACATTCAGCCACTCTTTCATCATCTCCTCAATGAGGTGGTCTCAAAAGTCGCAGTTACAACACACATAAGGCGCACCGCACCATAGGGCGCACCGCACATTTTGAGGGAAAAAAAAGACGTTTAAGTGCGCCTTATAGTCGTGAAAATACGGTAATTTAAAAAGGGAGTCCCTGCCTGAAACCTTTAATTCTATTCAGTGGACCATCAGGTCTTCCACATGACTGAAATGTTTAGCTAACTCAAACACGCCTGACCTGGCTGACCAGAATGTCTCCTATCCTCTTGATGATGAAGTTTCCCTCCGACCCTCCCGCTTCCAGCTGGCTCTCCTTTTCTCGGGCAAAGAGTCGTTGGAGGAGCTGGTCGTGCAGGTCTAGGAGATCATCCAATACTGGAAAAATCCTTTCCACTGTGTGCTGATCCAGAGGAACCTCCTTCTGCAGGCCTTTGCTGTATATTTCAGACATGATGCACAACGTTTGCATGTAATGCAACTCAGTCTGCATCAGCTCTGCAAAAAGTAAAACAAACTCTTCTTATTCAAAGACACAAAAAGGCAGTTTCCATGTGGATCCAAAGATGCATGTCTTCTGATCCAGAGCTCTGCAAACAGCTTCCCTCAGTGTTCATCGTAATATAATACTTAATGATCAGGGAGGAATTTCCTAGATTTGGTTAACCACTGCTAGATTGAGATAAAGATAAAAAGCTAAAGCATCAGGCAATGTTAATAGTTCAGAAATCTTTAACATTTAGTCAACAAACAGTCATTACACTGCAAAAACATTCTGCAAATCAGTACACATGTCTTAAAATAAGTGTATTCACCCTTAATTTAAGTAGGAAAATAAGTTGATCTGCCAATGGAATGAGCATTTTTCCCTTAAAATAAGATAATTAGATATTATTCCCTTTAAATAAGAGACTGTAATTGTTTTTTCTTATTTAAAATGTAAATGGTCCTATTCCACACTGTAAACCCGAATAAGTTGAAAATACTCAAAATCTTTGTCGTAACCGATTACGTGAATGTTTTTAAGTAGAGGAAATAAATATTATGAGTTTGACTGAACTTAAAAAATATAACTTCAGTTTACTCAAAAGCTTTCTTTACATTACTTTAGTTTTTGTGTAATAGAAATAACTTTTATGAGTTTGACTAAACTTAAAAAATATACCTTCACTTTACTCAAATATATATAGATATATAAAATATTAAAGTACTTTTGCTCACAATATACGTTTAATTTTATTTCCTAATGTCTGAAAACAGAAACAGACATCAAATCTCTTTTTTAGTTCACGTTTTTTTATTTAAGTTTTAAAAAAAACTTTAATAAAACATTGGGAATAGTTTCGATAAACCAGTTTAGCCAGAAAAAAAAGGCTTAACAGTGATGCAGGTCACTGAAACGTTATTTAACAGAAAGACCATGGTAATTTTAAAAGAAAGCTCATCCGTCTTGTTACTAAAAAAATAAAAAAAGAAACATAAATTAAACAACAAATTATAAAAGCTTTGAATAAAAAGACATTGCGACAGAATCAAAGCTAACACAACCAATTATTCAACTAAAATTAGTCACAAACAGTGCATCAATGGTGATGTTTTTGAAAGGGCATATAACCATCTCGTGATTTCTTAAATTACATCTCAAGTGTCCAAATAATCTTGACTTAGAAAAAGGCTTCTTAAAGTCACACAAGGGACAGGTGAAACATAAATGTGATCCTTGTGCTCCATCAGTTGCATCAAGTCTGCCTGTGCCAGTATGACAATGTGAAAGATGGGTTTTAACTGTATTAAATGACTGAAAAATGCAATTGCTGTAGAGGCACGGCAGTGGGCTGACTCTTGAATACTGACTGTGTTGCAGACGATAACGTGTAAATAACTTTGCCCAGGTATCCAGGGACGTAGAACATAGTTTGCATCTCCAGTCCATGTTCGGCCTGCAATTAAATAAAATATTTCTTTAATGAGTAAGTGTTTAGGTAAGCATAATAAAGTAGGTGCTGATCTAGAGGTTACAAATGAAATAAAAGTAATAACTATTATAACTCAAATCCAAGCAAATCCTCTGTAATAGTTTGGAGAATCCCCACTATTAATATTACCTTTTTACAACCCATTTAAAGTTTACAGCTGGACTCATTATTTCACATCTATTAAATATCAACTTCAGTAAAAATAGTAGAGAATGAAAGACCTGTTTTACAAAAGGAACAGTTAATTAAATACTGACTAATGATGTAAAATACTCAATATGTTAATAAGGCCAAACATGTTAATTCTGTTCAGTATAAATAGACTTACATTTGCTATTTTTAACGTAATTAATAATGCAGCTTAAAGAAATACATAAATATATAAGGATACCTTAGATATTGGGGGTGTTGCTCAATAATTTGTTTCCACTCTGGATGAAATGAGCTGATAAGAGAAATAGAAAATTTATTTAATTATTTCAATTTGTTAAACATTGTGATCCATGTTTACTTTTTAAGTAAAAAAACAAAAGTAAGAAAAATTGACTTACCAGATGAAATGCTTTCATCACGTCTGTGGGAATGAGGATATGGCCTACAGCAGCTCTCTGTGAAAAAGTTTCATGTTTAATTTACACATAATAACCTCTTATAAACTAAATTCAATGTACATATTTATATTTTTTGGCCATCATTCAAACTGGTTTATCTCCATTTTATTTGGTTAGATATTTAAATATTCAACAAAGTTTAAGTGAGTTTTTGTTTAATTCATAAAGCTTAGTTTTTATTTAGTTTCAGTTAACTGAAATGATTTCTTAATTTTAGTTAAAAGGATTTAAATTGAGTTCAAATTATTTTTATTTTGTGAACTATAAAAATATACATATATGGGCAGACCTCCGTACGTGACAAGTTAACTTGTACAATAATATTCTTTCTCTTAATAACATAGCTGAATCTTTCAACAGACAATCAACAATTAAGAAACATTTACAGTATACTCACCACAGAAGATCTCCGAGCATTAGGAGAAGCCCCAGACTCAGAACGATGCAGCTGACGAGTGGATGCTAGTGGTCTGTAGCAGGTGTACAGTAACACAGAGCTAAGGTTGCTAGCTTGCGAAGGCGCTGAGTGCCCCAAACTCACTTTAACCGCTGTGGTCAAAAAACAAAATATAAACTATTCTTTTCTGTGCAATGGTTATACGTAAAACTGACGCACAGTTTTAATACTGTTTGTCACCTTTACTCGTCTGTCTCTGCCAAGTCCAGCCTCGAGAAGGCACCCGTTTTTTTTTTTTTTTTTTTTTTAAGAACGTGCCCAACATGACGTAAGCATGCAGCGTTCCGCATTTACTTAAAATATTTCATTGAATGACAGCCATCGACTCAAAAGTATTAATCTAATTCAAATTAAAAGAACATTATTCAGTCAGAAAACTTATTAATTAATAGTTATTTTTACGGAAAACTTGATTTGAGTTATCTACCATTTATAACTTTCAGTTAGTAGTACTGTTTGGGTTTACAGTGTATAAAAAAAAAAAGTAAAAAAAAAAAACAACAAAATTTTGTCGACCCCCATGCAGTACCTCTGTGGACCCCCTAGGGGTCGTGGACCCCCTGTTGAAGACCTTTGATTTAGAGTCTAACGTCCAAATAAAATTACACTGAGATACAAGTTTTCACATTTACAGGGGATCTTAAATTTTTAAAAAATTAAATTTTTTTTTAAAAAAATTTTCCCAATTTTTTTTTTAAAAAATTTTAAAAAAATTTTTTTTTTAAAAATTTAAAAAATTTCAATTTTTAAAAAAAAAAAACCCAAAAAAGGCCCCCCCAAAATTTGGGGGAAAAAAAATTTTTTTTTAAAAAGGAGAAAAAAGAAAAAATTTTTAAAAAAAAATTTCCCCCCAAAAAAAAGGGGCCCAAAAAAAAAAAAAACCTTTTTAATTTTTTCTTAAAAAACCCAAAAAAATTTTTCCCTTCCCCAACCCCCAAATCCTTTTCCCCCCAAAAAAAAAATTTTTTTTTTTTTTTTTTTTTTAAAAAATTAAAAACCCCCTTTTTCCCTTTTTTTTATTTTTTTTTAAAAACCCCCTAAAAGGTTTTTTTTAAATTTTTTTAAAAAAAAAAAAAACCAAAACCCCCTTTTTTTTAAAAAATTTTTTTTTTCCCCCTTTTTTTTTTTTTTTTAAAAAAAAGGGGTTTTTTTAAAAAAAAAAAAAAAAAAAAAAAAAAAACCCTTTTTTTTAGGGGCTTTTTTTTTGAAAAAAAAAACCCCAAAAAAAAAAAATAAAAGGTTTTTTAAAAAATTTTTTTTTAAAAAATTTTTTTTTTTTTTTTTTTAATTTTTTTTTAAATTTTAAACCCCAAAAAATTTTTTAAAAAAATTTTTTTTAAAAAGGGGCCAAAAAACCCCGGAAAAAATTTTTAAAAAAAAAAAAAAAATTTTTTAAAATTTTTTTTAAAAAATTTTTTTTCACCTTTTTTTAAAAATTTTTTTTTTGGGCCAAAATTTTCCCAAAAAAATTTTTTTTTGTTTCCCCCAAAAATTTTGGGAATTTTTCCCCTTTTTTGGGGTTTCCCCCAAATTTTTCTCAAATTTTTTTTTCCCCCCCCAAAAAAAACCCCCCCCCCAAAAAAAAAAAACCCCCCGGGGGAAATTTTTTGGGGCCCCGATTCCCCTTTTTAAAATTAAAATTTTTTTTTTTTTTTGGCCCCCCCCCCCCAAAAAAAAAAAAAAAAAATTTTTTTTAAAAAAAACAATTTTTTTGAAAAAAAAATTTTTTTAAAACTTAAAAATTTTTTCCTTTTAATTTTTTTTTTTTTTTTTATTAAAAAATTTTTTTTAAAAATTTTTTTTAAAAAAAACCCCCCCTTTTTTTCCCAAAATTTTAAAATTTTTTTTTTTTTTTTTTTTCAAATTTTGGGGTTTTTTTTGGGGAAAAAAAAAAAAAAAAAGGGGGGAAAAAAAAACAAAAGGGGTTTTTTAAAAAGGGGATTTTAAAAAAAATTTTTTTTAAATTTGGGGTTTTAAAAAAAAAAAATTTTAAATGAAAAAAATTTTTTTTTAAATTTTTTAAAAAGGGGCCCTTTTTTTTAAAAAAATTTAAAAATTTTCCCAAAATTTTTTTTTTTAAAAAAAAAAAAAAATTTCCCCCCCCCCAAAAAAACCCCAAAAAAAATTTTTTAAAAAAAAAACCCCCCCCAAAAAAAATTTTTTTAAAACCCCCAAAAAAATTTTTTAAAAAAAAAAAAATTTTTTTTTTTTTCCCCCCCAAAATTTTTTGACCAAAAAAAAAAAAAAAAAACAAAAAAAAATTTTAAAAGCTAAACCCGGGGGCCCCCAAAAAAAAGGGGGGCCCCCCCCTTTTTAAAAAAAAAAAATTTAAAAATTTTTAAAAAAAGGGTTCCAAAAAATTTTTAAAAAAAAAAAAATTTTTTTAAAAAATTTTTTTTTTAAAAAATTTTTTTTTTTTTTTCCCCCTTTTAAAATTTTAAAAAAAAACCCCCC